CCTTCAGTGGTTCATATCCTGCCTGCTGTGGGAATGGGAATTTCATTGCAGGTGCATTAAAAAAGAAACAGTCTGCTGTCCCCAAGTATTTTGGATGGATTTGGACAAAAACAATACAAAAATCTTGGGACTCAGTTCTCTAAAAAGAAAACAGAAAGCAGAGAGACATGTTACTTACTGCCCRAAAGAAATGGTGTTGCTATGAAGCAAGGGGCTTCCTGGCTGCATTTGTTGTACACAAAAATTCCCTTTGTTGAAGCTGAAAGCCAATTACTTGATATGCAGTGATTTCAAAATTGCAGGACTTCAKTGAGGAGTACAGACATAAATCACTGACATTCTGCAAGTCAATATGCAAATTAGTTTTAAATAAGAGTCATCTCTTTTTTATCTATCTATCTATCTAGGGGATARATAAAAAGGAGGCTGCTTCTAGCAGAAAAATTCAAGGCTGTCTCTGGCTGTTTCCAGACGACCAGGAGCCTCAACAAATATTTTCTTGGGAGACCATCAGAATTATGTTCTGCTATTCTACCTCCCTGTCCCTTTATCAGGGGTGAAGAGTGTTTCACTCTATACACAGGGTTATCTCAGTCTGTCTAGCAGGCAGCTTAACTTCTGTAAATTCCAGAGACATGGAGAGATGGTTTATGAAGAAACTGATGTATCCTGACCCAGTGTGGTGGTCAGAGGTTTGGGTGTAGGTGATACCATGCACTGAGAACAAAAACCTCAATTGGTGTAGCAGCCATCTGTCAAAGAGTGTTTTTGTCTCCTAAACTCTCCATGCAGTCAACCCATTATCAAAATAAATGTTTTGGGGATCGTTATCTCCTTGATTRCTTTCCTTCAGTCTGATCTGTGCCCACGTTTCACCTCAGGCTGAAGATATTGGCTACCTGGATGAGCAGATCATGGCTCTGCACACGGAAATTGTGGAGCTGCAGAAGAGTCCCTATGCAAGGCGCCAAGGAGAGGTCATGGAGAGCTTGTAAGTCCTGTGTTTCTCATTTTCACTTCTTGTAATTGGATTTTGTGTCTTTCAGTGTCTGATGGGCTTCTTTTCCCCCTGTTGCTGGTTCCCTCAGCAATTTTGAAATGCAAACTGCAAGTACAGAGTAATGTACAATTGATTTGAGATAATTTTGCTCGTGGTAGGGAAGATCCCAGCACTCATGGGACATTTCTCTGTCACTGAACTATGAAACCTCATCTTACAAGAGCCCAGGACTAGGACATATCTTGGTCTCAACTGGGGATTTCATTTTGTGTTGGAGAGGAGTGACTTTATTAGTACTGAGTGAGAAAACTGCGTGATCATGTTAAATACTTCTAGTGTATTTTCAGAGTAAGGGTAAATAACTCATGGGTACTTTAATGTGTGGAAAGTCGATTTAAAAAAAAAAATTAAAATATGAAAGAGCTGAGTGGTAGTACTGGTCTTGGGAAGACACAGGAAGCAGTTACTGAGCTGCTGCTCAGAGTACAAGTGGGGATTCCACCAGAGAGGGATTGAAYAGCCATTAAATGTGTTAATAAGAGCTCTTCAGAACAACTCTGARTGGTCTGGGAGGAAATGTGCCTGTTCCTGGCTTGTTGTCCACCCTCCCTTTTTGTTAARTTGCTTTTCATCCTGTGTAGCTGCAGCAGAACTGGTGCACAAGGGAGGAAGTGGTGCAAGGGAGAAGCCACCTCCTGCAGCAGCAGTTCAAATTAATCATGAACTTTCCTCCTTAAACATTATTTTTAAGCAATTCCACCACTGCAGAYCAGGGTTAGAGTTGGGAAACTGCTGCTTGTTTCTGACACACTGGTTTGGAAGAGGGAGGGTTTGTTCAAGACTAGAAATTTTCAGTTTGGCTGCTTCTGAAATATTTGAAGCAACATTTGTTCAACAGGAAAAAGAGAAGCACAGTTGTCTTGCTTGTGATGCAGCTGTCTCTTTCCATTTGAAGAATATCACAAAAATTAAGGCAAAAAATGCAGAACAGGAACAAGAATTTCTCAGACAGTTGTGCGGTTATGGTTTCAGAAAAGAAATCGGATAATTAAGGACACAGGGGAAGGAAAACACAGCTGAGCCATGTGAAGAATTGAAACTGAAAATAACSTCCACTTGGTGGGATGTTCTGAGGAGAAAACATCATCATTCTCTCTTTTTGGAGAAAAAGAGAGACAGCTTTTAGGGAAGTGTTGGATTTTATCCCAAAAAGAGCATCCCTGGTTCAAAAGGTCATGCTTGTGTGCCAGCTGTAGGAGAAAGAGTTCAGAAAGGCTTCATTTCATTGCAATGCTTTTTTCTTGAGTCACCTGCCTGCTGACACCTATCTGAACCGTGTTCTTCTTTCTGAAGGGAGCAGAGAGCCATAGACTTGTACAAGCAATTAAAAACAAGACCTCCAGGTATGGAAGGAGATGATTTAAAGACTGTTTCACCCTTGTACCCCATGGTTAACTTTTCTGAACTGAAACCCAGCAAATGCTGTTAGGATTTACTCACGTGGTGGTTGCTGGCCCTTCCAGATCACGCCTACAGTGACAGCACAGACATGGTGAAGATCATTGTGCAGACAGTCCAGAGCCAGGACCGAGTCCTCAAGGAGCTCTTTGGCCACCTCAGGTAATTTTTGCAGACAAAAAACCCAAACAAACCCAACTTGCAGCATTTGTAGCTTTTTAGTAGGAAAAGAGAAGGAAAGCCAGGGGAGGTCAAAGCCCAAAAAGCTCCATCCACGTTTGTCATAGCAATATGAATTCTGCTCCTCTGTGTCTGCATTGAATTTCCCCTCACTTTTTAAAAACTGTTAGCATCCTAGAGTTCACTTAAAAATGAGGCAAATTCTGCCAGCTGGAGGTTGGGATTCAAATCGTCATGAAAAAATTTAAATAGTGCAAGAGCAGAGACAATACCACAGTGATTTGTACATTAATTTTTCAAGTATCTTGAATCCCAAGGTAAGGCTTTTGGTTTTGCCACACAAGCTGGGAAGTGACTTGGTGTTTGGTTTTTATTCCAGCAAGCTCTTGGGCTGCAAGCAGAAGATTATTGACTTGCTCCCCGAGATTGAAGTGGCTCTAAACAACATCAAGGAAGCTGACAACTCAGTGATGCAGATGCAGGGGAAGAGACAAAGGGAGATATGGCATTTGCTGAAAATTGCTTGTGTGAGTAGCTGCTGGGYTGTTTGTTTTTACTTCCATCCAGTGTGGGAGCCAGGACACATTGAAGAAAACTCAGCAAAAAGGGGTTACTGCCACACCATGGTTGGTTTTTTTTCTGCAGAGAAGAGCAGTCTGAGATGGTAAAAGCAGAAGAAAAATGGGTGCTTTCCTGGTTAGTTTAASGTGTTTTAAGTTTGCTGCTCTTTTTGCATTAATTAGAGTGCSTGAAGCCATCTCCTGATTCCCACATGGGTGTCTGTGTTACAGACAGTMCTTGTGTGTAATCCCAAGTCTTGCYTACAAAACAYTTAAGCCTAAATTRTTCTGAATTTGTTTCTTCCAGACTCAGAGCTCCTCTCGATCACTGGTCAGCTCCAGCCTGGAAGGGACAGCCTCAACTCCAGCAGCCACRTGGCTCCCCCAGAGCTCCTCAGGGAACACAGCTCCTCACCCTCTGTCCTCGCTGGCAGCTCCTGAAGATGGGTATGAGCTGCTGGGGCAGACCCCTTCAGTATCTGGGGGGCTTTATCCTTCCCTGACAACTTTCAGGAGTTCTGTGTTACTAATGCTCTAAAAAATCAGGGATTTGGTTGAACTCCTAATTCAGAAACCTCTGCTCTGTTTCTGAGCACTGCTAAAGCACTGTGCYGTCCATTTATTGCATGTCATGTTGCTCTTTCTTGGCCTTGGATCTGGTTATTTTCTTCCCCCAGTGCAGCACCTTTTGATGGGGGTGGTGCTTGAAATCCACTTTTGGTGCTTGAAATCCATCATCTTAGAGGTTTCTCATTCCTGTAGGGAGAATTTTGCTGACGTGATACAGGAAAATGTGAATTACCTCGAGCTSTTCAGCAGCGTTTTGCAGGAGGTGAGGCAGGAGCAGAACAGCATGATGGTAAGTGGTGGTGCATCTGCCAGGACCTGGCTTGCAAGAGGGTGCTCTGGGGACATRGAGAACTTCTTGARTAGGAAGAGGTACCAGGTTCTCCAGCCTGGCCTGGGACACTTCCAGGGATGGGGCAGCCACGGYTCCTCTGGGCACCCTGTGCCAGGGCCTCCCCACCCTCACAGGGAACAGTTTCTCCCCAATATCCCATTGAACCCTGCCCTCTGGCAGTGGGAAGCCATTCCCCCTTGTCTCCTGGAGTGTCCTGGCACTCCAGGCTCTTGGAAATAGTCTCTGTCCATCATTCCTGTCAGCTTCTTCAGGCACTAGAAGGTCAGTTAGGTCACCCTAGAGCTTCTCCAGGCTGAATAATCCCAGCTCTCCCAGATTTTCCTCCCATRAGAGGAGACATTCATCCTTTGGCTACCAGTTTGGAAAATCCTATGATCTCCCAAACTAGAATGGACTTGCAGGGCTCAGTGAATGCATTGTGTTAACTCCTGGGAGCATCCTTTGTAAGGGCAATTACTGCGTTTTCATCAAACAAGATGTACATCCAGTAGCCCGACCCTATGCTCAGGTGTTGTTTTACTACTCTTTGCAGAGTTTCGACTGGAGCTGGCTGAAGTAGCCCCRGGAGCCGGTATGATGCATCGCCCAAGTGCCTTCCGTGTGCTGAGCGCAGGCTCGGCCACCTTTCCTGCGGGACCCAGCGGTGTTTTGTTGACTTCAGCGTGTCACCCACCAGCCGTGTCCCCCGGGRGAGGCCTGGGCCAGGCCGCTGCCGTGTGCCCCATGAATGTATAGCGCGTGTATATATAATAAACTTTGTGTAGAGACACACACGCTGTGAGGCCTGGTCCGTCCCGCGCTGCCATCGCTTCGCGCCGTTGCCTGGCAACCTGACGTGTGACGTCATAATCGCGCGCCGACGCGGCGCGCCCGTGGTGCCTCGCGCCTGCGCGCGTGCGTGGAGGGGGTGGGAGCGCGGCCTCGGCAGCACGTGGGGAACGGGACAGGTACGGGACAGGGATTGGGATAAGGGATCGGGATGGGAGAGAGGTTGGGATAAGGGATAGGGACTGAGATAGGGACAGGTACGGGGCAGGGATTGGGATTGGGACAGGGACAGGTACGGCGTGGGGATTGGGATAAGGGATGGGGATAGGGGATAGGGATGGGGATAGGTACGGGAGAGATAAGGGATAGGGATTGAGATAGGGACAGGTACGGGGTAGGGCTTGGGATAAGGGATTGGGACAGGGACAGGTACGGGACAGAGGTTGGGATAAGGGATAGGGACTGAGATAGGGACAGGTACGGGGTAGGGCTTGGGATAAGGGATTGGGATAGGGGATGGGGATAGGTACGGGACAGAGGTTAGGATAAGGGATAGGGATTGAGGTAGGGACTTGTACGGGGTAGGGATTGGGATAGAGATACGGATTGAGATTGGGACAGGGACAGGTACAGGGTGGGGATTGGGATAAGGGATAGGGATTGAGAGAGGAACAGGTTTGGGGTAGGGATTGAGATAGAGACTCGTAGAGGAGAGCGATTGGGACAAGGAATGGGGATAGAGATAGGGGATAGGGACGGGAGAGGGATTTGGATAAGGATTGAGATAGGGACAGGTRCAAGATAGGGATTGGGATAGGTATAGAGAACAAGGACGGGGTCAGGATTGGGATAGGGGACAGGTACAGGATAGGGACTGGGAGAGGGACTGGGACAGGTACGGGATAAGGACAGGTACGGGATAGGACGGGGGAGGGATAGGGGCAGGTATAGGATAGAGATAGGAACGGCATAGGGCCTAGGGAGCGGGACGGGTTGAGGATTAGGATAGGGACGGGATAGGACGGAGTGGGGATACGGGAGGGGCAGGTACGCTACAGGGAGGGCATGAGCGTAGGGACGGGGACAGGAACAGGGCCGGGTGCGGGTCCCGCGGGATGGCTCCGGGGCGGGCGGGGAGGGGAGAGCGGTCCCTGTCCCGGCCGTGTCCCTGTCCTGTCCCGTCCCGCGGGGTGCCGGTGCCGGGGCGGTCCCGGGGGCCGAGGGCAGTGCCGGGGGTTGTCCCGGGGCTGGCCGGCGGGCCCTGACGGTGTTGCTGTGGCAGGGCAGGGCAGGGCAGGAGCCCGCGGCGCCGTGAGGGGATGCGAGCATGGCCATGGCCCAGGCGGGGGCCGCGGCCGCGGCTGCCACCGGGCTCCTCGTCTTCCTGCTCTACTCCGCCATCCACAGGGTCGAGGAGGGACACCTGGCCGTGTACTACAGGTACGGCTCACCCCAAACCCTGGGGTTCATCCCTGGCCCCAGGGATTGCTCTGTCCTGCGCTTCCCTCCGGGCTTTTTTCCCCTTTTGTTTCTGCTCCCTTCCACACATCCTTGTGAGTCCCAGACACCCCGGCTCCGTGCAGAACCTTTGCATATCTGTCTCTCTCAATCCTCAGCTGCTTTTCCCCCTTTCCCTTTTCACAAACTGGATTTTAGAGTGTAGAAATCAAAGCTTGTGCTCCCTCCTGCCTTCCCACATCTGTTGATCTCTCCCTGTTGCAGCAAGAGCCGTCACCTTTGTCCCAAACTCTTACCCAGCCAGAGCTCTGGCTGTGTTGGTGCTTCAGAATGTTCTCCTTGCCMTTCCCAGTCACCACCTTTAATTTCAAGTTTCCCTTTAGTTACAAGCGCGACAGCCTGGGGGGATTTTCCTTTGTGCTTTGGGYGAGGGGCTGTGCAGAAATCTGGATTTTTCCATGGTTACCAGCGAACTATTTAGGGAGGAAAAATCTGCYTTCTCGCTGCTCTGTGCAGTGTGGCAATGCTGGGAGGGTTTTGCAATARCTGCCTTCTCCAGGGGTTAATGGCTCGCAGGTCTCACGCAAAGTTGCAGCAGAGTGCACTCAGCCCTTCTGCTGGGGAATTGCTGGCAAATTTAGGGCACTGATGTGATTCTCAGTGCCATAGCTGTGACCCCTGAACTGTCCCTGCTTGCCTTTAAAGCCAACCCCTGCTGTTTCCCACCTTGTCCCTGCTTTCCTCSCTCTCCGCAGGGGCGGCGCGTTGCTGACCAGCCCGAGCGGCCCYGGCTACCACATCATGCTGCCGTTCATCACCACCTTCAAATCCGTGCAGGTCTGTGCCCTGGGGGCTGGGACAGGCTGGGGGCAGCAGGGAGGGAGGGAGGGAGTCCCTGCTGTTTGCTCTGGGGCTCCAGGATGTGCAGTTGGAGCATTGGAATCTCTCTATTCCTCCTGCTGTCAGTGTCAGGCTCGGTGAGCTGTTGCTCTGAGGAAGCTCTCCCCAGCACATGTGTGTGTGTTGCTGGGGGCTGTTCCTCTTAGGAAGCTCTCCCCAGCATGTGTGTGTGTTGCTGGGGGCTGTTGCTCTTGGGAAGCTCTCCCCAGCACGTGTGTGTGTTGCTGGAGGCTGTTCCTCTTGGGAAGCTCTCCCCAGCATGTGTGTGTGTTGCTGGGGGCTGTTGCTCTTGGGAAGCTCTCCCCAGCACGTGTGTGTGTTGCTGGGGGCTGTTCCTCTTGGGAAGCTCTCCCCAGCATGTGTGTGTGTTGCTGGGGGCTGTTCCTCTTGGGAAGCTCTCCCCAGCACGTGTGTGTGTTGCTGGGGGCTGTTCCTCTTGGGAAGCTCTCCCCAGCATGTGTGTGTGTTGCTGGGGGCTGTTCCTCTTGGGAAGCTCTCCCCAGCACATGTGTGTGTGTTGCTGGGGTTGGAGGTGTCCTGCTCAGGAAGGACAGTCCATGTTTGTGGCTGTCACCGTTTCCCAGGAGCGCCGCGTTCCCGAGCGTGCTGGGAGCAGGGAAACCAGCGTGGCTGCCTGTGCACCCCCAAAACATTCCTCACCAAAAGGCAGGTCAAGAGAAGATTTGCCTTCTGCCCACACCTGCAGGCATCACCAGGGAGGCAAAGGACAGGTTTTGGGTGCCGTGTTTCTGCTGTGGGAGTGTGGGTGCAGCAGGGCCTCCCCATGGAAGGGAGCGCTTTGTGAGCGCTGGCTGTGTTTGTGTTGCAGACCACGCTGCAGACTGATGAGGTGAAGAATGTGCCTTGTGGGACAAGGTATGGCTTCCATCTGTATTCCTTCTTCATTTGTGTTTCTTCTAGATGCACTCTGTGGGGTCATTTGCAGTGCTGGGAGGCAAAGGTACCTATTCTAAAATCAGTCCCAAATGTACACATGTATATCCCACTGTAACAGAACAGGAGGCACAGGAAGGAACACTCTGGCTCTTGCTGGAGTTGCTGTTCAGAGGGTATTTGCATTTATTGTGGGTTTATCATGACTTTTTCCGGGTTTCTCCCCTTGATTACCTTGGCACCTTACTGCTTGGGCTTTGCCCTGCCCTCACACTGGTAATTTTACCACTCTGAGTCTTGTGGCTGATACGAGTGCTGACCATAGCAGTGGGCAGAAGCAAACAGTGAATGGGAAACCTCCTGGTGGAAGGGAGTTCATTTCCAAATTAAATTCCTGCTTCATAATTAGGCTGATTCTTCTGTCACACAGACCTGCTTGGTTGTAATAAGCAGGAGGAGAGGGCTGGTTGAGTTGGGTTACAGATCCTGTTAATGTTGGTTCATCCATGAGTTAAAGTGATGACATTTTAGGATAAAAAAACCCTCATGATTCTCATTGTCTTTAGGTTTAGGGTGCTCAACAAAATTTCTGTTAAAAAAAATTAATCAGTGTGATTGGAGTGATGACATACAGTGACCATGTTGAAATTAAAAATGTAAATGTTGGTGGCAGCATTAATAAAGCAAAGTTAATTTTGGTCAGGTTTAACCCATAYTAACTTTTTTGGAGTTATTCAGCATTGGGCTTAAATGTTAACATAAAGGTCACATRGTTTTAGTTTTAGATGTCAAAGCTTTTTCGGAGTATGTGTAAATAATGCTAATGTTCAGTGTAGCAGCTTTCACAGAATCACAAAATGGTTTGGGTTAAAAGGGACCTCAGTGCCACCCCTGCCATGGCAGGGACACCTCCCACTGTCCCAGGCTGCTCCCAGCCCCAATGTCCAGCCTGGCCTTGGGCACTGCCAGGGATCCAGGGGCAGCCACAGCTTCTCTGGRCACCCTGTGCCAGGGCCTGCCCACCCTCACAATATAGAATTTCTTCCATATATCTCACATAAATTTCCCCTCTGTCAGTCTGAACCCATTCCCCCTTGTCCTATCACTCCACAGCCTTGCCCAGAGTCCCTTTGGGGTGAGGTAAACAGCCTTTAGGCCAAACCAAAAGTCCCTGCCAGCCTTGACCATTCTGTGCTTCTATGGTTTAGGAGCTAAAAATCAAGTTCCCGTTGAATTTCAGCGTGGTGGGGTTCAGTTGTATCAATGCAGGAGTTGGGAAGGTGCAGGCAGTAAAAATGGGCTTTAAACCACCAAACAGCTGGTGGAAGCAGTTCTTAGTTAATAATTGAATACACTCCAGACCAAAGGTTCCAGTAGCCCTGTCCATTTTTAAGGTGTTGCTGCAGGAGCCTTTCAGTTTGCTGCGTTTGGAATCCAAAGTCTGTGGCTGCTCAATGCCAAAGCTTTGCATCTGCATTTCCTTAGCAAAACATTTCCTTATAAATAACAAAGGGTCACACCTGGAGTGCCATTGTCCCAGTTCAAAGTCTGGGACCAGAATAGATCCTAAACAGTTTGAGGTTTTGTATTTACATATTCAACTGTCAGACTCTAAAGGCTAGGTTTCTCTTCCACCATATTTATATTCCAGTTCCCTGTACCCTTATCTACACCAGGAGTGTTTGTGTGGGTGTTCCTATCCCAAATTTTTGCCTTGCCTGTCCCATTTGTACCTGACAGCATTAAGAGACTACACTAAATAGAGATTTTAAATCCTGAGTTAGGTCTTGAATTGTCTGAGGCTTTCCAGGGTCTTCCTGTCCACCTGTGTCCATYTCCTGTGGCATTCCCTGGATGCTGTCTCCTTGTCCTGTCAGGTCAGGCAGCATTGCTGCCTTATTATTCTTAAACCTCTCCCAGGTGCACCAAGTCTATATGTTGATCCCCCTTCTAGACTTTCTATGGATTTCTCCTTTTTTCTCTCTTCCCTGAGCACTTTGGGGTGTGTTGTTGGGGTGTTTGGGGTGTGTTTCCTCAAAGCCTGTTGAGTGACCAGCAGGACTGATAAAATTCACTTACCCCCATCACACTGGGCCATAATAATGGAATAACAGTGGATAATAACCCACTTGCTGTCCCTCACTGGCTGAGATGCTTGGCAAGGTTGTTGTGGAAGGCAGTGGTGGAGTTTTTAGCTTGTGGTTGTTGAGAAGCAGGTTTGGAGCAAGAACAGGGAGGCTTTTTCCAAGAGAGTACAGACACAGACAGGTTCAGGTTGTTTTTCTGCAGACTTGGCTTTCAGCTGCCAGAGATCAAGATCTGCAAAATAAGAAACTGAGTTTGTCGTGGGRGATACGTTTGAGTAAAATATCACAGAGTTTGGGAATGTGGGAGTTCCACTGCCAGGAATGAGCTGTCTCTAAACAATTCCTGCTAAAGCTTCTGGTCTGTGATATGCCTTTGTCCCAAGGACAACATCACAGGAGTGTTCTGCTTTAAAATTGTCCTCTCAGGAGACTTGGAGCTGTTGAAAGTTAGGAGTTTTTTTCTCTGCTGTAGAGGTTGTACTTTTCTCTGGTTGTACTTTTCTCAGGGGTGGGCATGGCTTGCTGAAAGCCACCCCAATAAGAGCAGGGACTGGGAGCAAGCCAGTCTGATTGCCCCTTTTCCCTGCCAGTATGGGGAGAGGATTKCCTGCAGGCTCCCTCTGCTGAGGTTGCTTGTGGTGTCCCTGGAGAGCCACGTGCACTGTGACACTGAAGCTGGGAACCAGGATTGAAATCTGCCACGTGCTTTGTTCTGTTAATTCTATTGGGCCTTGCCAAGCTCCTGCTGGAGTTGGGGAATGTGTGAATTAAATTAATTGCTTTTCCTGTTTAATATGTATTTGCTGCCTGGAAGAGCTGCGGTGCATCTGCATTATGTGGCAGTTGTCACCTGCTGCCCTTGTTGCCTTSCTCTCTGCTTTCCTGGTAGTTGCAGCTACATTCCTGTTCAGAAATGTTTTTCCTTTGGCTGGTTGAGTAGGAGATCACAGAGGGAAGGGAAGGTGCTTTGCAGGCTTGTGATTTATGCAGGGAGAGAGACTGGGGTTTGCTGCCATCTCGTTGCAAAATGCTCGGAATGCAGTGAAAAAGGGATAAAGATGGCTTGGCTTTAAACATGTCACCTGTTAACAGCTGCAGGGGTAACTGATGGGCTCTCTTTTCCCTTGCAGTGGTGGGGTTATGATCTACATCGACCGAATAGAAGTTGTGAACAAGCTGGCCCCATATGCAGGTATTTCCCATCCTGGTCCCAAAGCAGAGCCATGACTGTCTGCACTCCTCCTGTGCCAGCTCTGCCTCGCTTTGCAGGACTCCCCTTTTCCATGTCTGAGAAACTTCCCTSTCTGTTCCCATTTCTTGTTACCTTCCCAGTCCTGTAGCATTGATCCCAGTTGCTTCCAGCTCTGCTTCTGAGAAAATTGCAGAGACAAAACCTGTCTAGGAGCCTCTCACCGTATTATTTGACTGAGCCAAAGACACAGACAGCTCATTTTGTTCAACTGCACAGCTTGATGCAAAACACCAGCATTGCTGAGGCACCAGAGGGTGAATTCCTGTTATAATTCATTGAATCATGGTAATTGAGCTGGAAGGGATCTTCAGGATCATCCAGTTTCAGCCTCTGCCATGGCAGGGACACCTTCCACTGTCCCAGGTTGTTCCAAGCACCRTCCAGCCTTRCCTTGGACACTTCCAGGGACAGCCACAGCTTCTCTGGGCACCCTGTGCCAGGGCCTCACCAACTTCTRTAAGAGTTTCTTCCTTATATCTCASCTAAATTTCCCCTCTGTCAGTCTGAACCCATTCCCCCTTGTACTGTCACTCCAGTTCCTGTTGCAGGGCCCCTCTCCAGTTTCCCTGGAGCCCTTCAGAYCCTGSAAGRAGCTGTGAGGTCTCCACACAYCCTTCTCYCTCCAGGCTGAGCATTCCCAGCTCWCMCAGCCTGACTCCAGCCTCCTCAACAACTCAGTGCCTCCTCTGGACTTGCTCCAACAGTTCCTTGTCATGAGGGGGTCAGAATTGTGCACAAGGTTCCAGGTGGGGTCTCAGCAGGAGCAAAGGGAGAGAATTCCTTCCATTGACCCGCTGGCCACACTCCTTTGGATGCAGAATCTGGTTGGCTTAAACGGTGGAAATGATCCTTGTTTTCACTTTACAGCAGTTCCTGCTCCTGTGCATGCAGCTCCTGGGGAGGCTTTGCTGTTTCATTTGTTTATGCAGATGATGAAACAGCACCAGGCAGTACATCTTGCTTTGGTRATTGCTCCTTGAGGTTGTGTAATCCCAGCAGCACTCGTGGGTGTCCAGCAGGCTTCTCCCTGACAGCTGGGCAGGGCAGCTGGGGCTTGGGCCACCCAAATCCTGAAAACCCCAGGGCTGGAGATCCCCCACCCCTGTGCCAGTGCTGCACTCCTTCCCTGCCATCCTGCCACGTGCCAGTGGTGACCTGTGGCCATTCTGTCCCTTTCCCAGTGTACGACATTGTGAGGAACTACACYGCAGACTACGACAAGACCTTGATCTTCAACAAGATCCACCACGAGCTGAACCAGTTCTGCAGTGCCCATACCCTGCAGGAGGTGTACATTGAGCTGTTTGGTGAGTGGATGGAGGAAATTTCCCTGTGCTGGAGTTGCAGTCTGGAATCTGGCTTCTTTTACATCCACATGCCACTGCTCCTGTAAATGCAGTGTTTCAGAGGGGTTTGTCTTTCCCCATCTGCATGTGGGAATTTGATTTCAGTCTTTTTCCACCTGTTCTAGATGCACAAAGCAGCCCCTCTGCTCTTGTGTGTGCCGTGATGCCTGTGGCCTTCACTATGACCRTTTGTCTCGTTCTACTTCTGCTTTTAACTCCCTGCTCTGCTGCTGAGTTCACTTTTATGCTTTCAGGCTTTCTTCTGGCTGTTTTTGACAAGTGAGAGCTGGAAGGTTTCTAACAGGGAGGTAGCACAGATCATATTCTGCTTGCTGAACCTGTGCTCCGAAGACAGAGCAGAAGGTTGTGCTCCTTGAGTGGCTGGGCAGGGGAGAATGGCTTGTGGAAGACTAAAGGCTGTAAAAATTTTAATAYTCAGATACTCCAAGTCTGAGTGTTGAGGAGGGTTAGGCTTCTACCACAGGTTCATTTTCTTGCTGAGATGCTGCAAGCARTTTGTCCTTAATYCAGATAACTCAAACTCATCAATAGCTGAACTTTTCTAGTCACTAGCACGTGATTCTCCTTTGGGGAGTKTTTTTCAGSRGGCAAAGGAAGGGAAACAATGTGCWGAATGGTCTCAKGAAGCATCTTTATCTTACACTGTGGAGTTAGCTGCTCTTCAAGGCTGGCTGACTCTCTGTCCCACSAGCTGTGGGAGAAAAGATGATAAAGCTAAATGGTCTCTCTTTTGTCCTCAAAACACAGATCAGATCGATGAGAACTTGAAGCTGGCCCTTCAGAAAGACCTCAATGTCATGGCACCGGGTCTCACTATCCAGGTGGGTTGTGGCCTTTAAATAGAGATTTTAAAAAGTGGGGAATGACTTTTTGCCAAAGCCTGCAGTGACAGGACAAGGGAAAGCAGCTTTAAACTGAAAGAGGAATGTTTTATACTAAGGGTGGTGAGGCCCTAGCACAGGGTGCCCAGAGAAGCTGTGCCTGTGGCTGGATGCCTGGAAGTGTCCACAGCCACATTGGACATTGGGGTTTGCAGCACCCTGGGGTAGTGGAAGGTGTCCCTGCCCATGTGTTTCATTTGAAACGTGCTCCTTTTTTCTTCTTTCACAGGCTGTGCGTGTTACAAAACCCAAAATTCCAGAGGCCATCCGAAGAAACTTTGAGCTAATGTGAGTAGCTGGACATAAAATTGTATTCATTAATTTTGAGGGTCCTGCACAGGCACAGTGCTGTTGGAAAGTTCTTCCCTGGTGCCCAGGGGGTGAGTGAGAGCTGAGCTTTAGGCGATGTGTGCTTGTTCAGGTGCACCTGTGCATTCTGTTTCTCCATTTCCATACTGAAATCAGGGCTCAGGGGTGTTGATGTCTTGCCCATTATCTCCTCTCCAGGATCTCTGGAGTGCCTTTGGGCAGAAGGAGGTGCTGTTGGATCTCTCTTCACGTTTGGTTGAGCAAGCCCAGCTCCCAGCCCGCTCTGCCTTGGGTCTTTGTCCCGAGGGCCTCAGACTGGCTTTGCATCCAGAAGTGGGTGGGGGACAGATGGCRAGGGGGACAGTCCCTCCCTTTGGCCTGTGCTGCAGGCAGAGCCAGTGCCCATGGCTGTGAGCAGGGAGCTGGCAGCTGGCTGGCCTCCTGTCCCCATGGGCTCTCCTGGGATGCAGAGCTGCTCCCTGTTCCCTTTGCCCAGGATAACRCTTCTCCCCTTGCAGGGAGGCTGAGAAGACCAAGCTGCTGATTGCAGCCCAGAGACAGAAGGTGGTGGAGAAGGAGGCAGAGACAGACCGGAAGAAAGCGCTCATTGGTAATGTCACCGGCACAGGCTGAGCCTCCAGTCCTGCATTCCGTGCTAGGCTGGGGCAGGACCTTGTCATCCATCACTGACAGCTCCCTGAGGCTGCACAAGCAGTTGTTTTGAACATCTGAGTGAAAACCCCACAGYAGCAGAGCAGGGAGCCCCTCTGTCCTGCAGCAGGAGAGGAGATCCCTCTGCTGGAAAACACTCGGGCTTGGAGCTCCACGTCCCTGTGCCAGGGGGATTGCACTTGTAAACGTGATGTCAGCTCTGCAGACACCAGCACTGTGCTTTCCTCCTGGAGCTGTGCTGCTTGGAGTGCAAACTGGCACTGAGTGGGAAGGGAGGGAGCAGGGAGCCARCTCCTGGTGTGGCAGGTCCTGCAGCCTGGGTGGGATGCTGATGCTCAAGCCCTGAGAAGCAAATGTCCCAGCTGAGCCCGTTGTGACACCTGTGGGACACCTGTGACACGTCCCCTGTGATTGCAGAGGCAGAGAAGGCTGCGCAGGTGGCCAGGATTCACTACCAACAGAAGATCATGGAGAAGGAAACGGAGAAGCGCATTTCTGAGATCGAAGGTAACCACGCTGCTGGGGCTATCTGCCAGCTGGGGGTGGGGGCAGATGGAGGAGCCTCAGAGCTGCCAGAGTCATCAGGGGTGCTGCAGAGGTGTGAGGCTGTGCGCTGGGGTCGCTCCTGCCCTCTGGGAAGCTGCAGGGCAGGTACAGGGCCAGCCAGGCTGTCACAGGCTCTCCTGGCTCAGCTGGTCCCCACAGGGCTCAAGTGCTCAGCGTGACGGGGTCATTCACTTTCTAATTCTTTCTTTCCTGTCCACTCTCTGCTGCTGTGTCAGATGCTGCGTTCCTGGCGAGGGAGAAGGCAAAGGCTGATGCAGAGTACTACACTGCTCGSAAGCTGGCTGACTCCAACAAGGTGAGCATGGGGCTCTCCCCTTTCCTACATGCCTGCTGCCACCCTGCTGTCCCTCCCTGCCCAGACTCGCCCTGTGACACCTCTGCCTTCTTTATTGGTATAAAACCCTTGAAACTAAATTATATCAAAAATGGGAGGCCTGATTTTACAGCCTGGTTTTTTGACCTCAAAATGGTCACACGAGGGTCATAAAGATCATTTTCAGGTGGGCAGCACTGCAAAAACACTTGATTTAACAGCCCACACCGCAGGAGGCAGGTACCTGGTGTGGAATCCAGGGCCCAGAAGGGTGTCTCTTAGAGTTTGTGGTTTGTGTTTTTTGCAGCTGAAGCTGACCCCSGAGTACCTGGAGCTGATGAAGTACCAGGCGATCGCTGCCAACAGCAAGCTGTACTTCGGYGACCGCATCCCCAGCATGTTCCTGGATTCCTGTGCCTTCCAGCAGGCCAGCCTGAGGACTGCCCACGACACCAGCCTTCCTGCACAGGAGGCCCCGGACACCTCTGGAGAAAGCCCCATGAGAGGAGAGGAGAGCACTGGGTGAGGCAGGCAGAAGGGAACCCGGTGTAGCTCAGCAGCGAGCCTGGCTGTGCCCAGGGACGAGSCCCCGTGCCGGCGGGGCGGATGCAGCACACGCCTGGACATCTTGTGTATAGGTGGCAGTGGGGTTGATTTTCTTCTGGCAACAGATTGCAAGGGCTCTGCCTCTTCCGTTCCTCCCCCCATTAAATTGGTGCTTCCAAAGGAGGGATAATCCTGTACTAACATACCYATACTGGAATATTAAAGGACAGACAGCAGGAAAGCCTCCCGGGGTGGGTGCAGTTATTTAGCAGGCGTTGCTCCGGAGGAAGGAGATGTGGCTKTGAGTGCTGTGTCACTGCTCATTGCCCAGCACTCCTGGCTGAGGCTGAGTGAAGAGGATTTCCCCTCGTTCTGCTGCTGAAGCTTCGCTTGGTGAAGGTTTCTGCTGACGCTGTCKYGCTCTCCTCGAGGACTGCGSTGGAGTGGGCTCACCTTGGCCGGCRTGTTCCTGCTCAGGGCACTGGAATGGGTGTGGAATAGGTGACTGGAGTAGGATCTGCATAGCCATAATATTCCTGTAGACAGCAGCACTAGATAACCACCTGGAGGAAGCGACCTCCGAAGGGATTCTGCAACCCCCTCTCCAAGCAAGAGCCTCGCACTGGCTGCCTGGGACTGACTGCGGTGTTCCAGCTGGGTGGCCGGGTCTCATTGCCTCCTCAACCAGATTTCAGAAGCAGCTGGTTGAGAACAGAGCTTGGGAAGTCTTTGCTCAGATCCCAGCCTCCGTGTAAGTCATTCACCAGGGAAAGGGGGCTGAATTTCCACTGCTCTGCTGTGCTGGCAAAGTGAAGAGCGAAGGGACCCTGCTGTGCAGCAGATCAGATGTTTGACGCCTCAGCTGCAAAATAGGTGAGCATCACTGCTCCTCCGTGCAAAATGTGCTGCTCCAGAAAGCGGGACTTGCCTCGTGTGTCCTTGAAGAGCCACGGCAAAGGAGCGTGTCCCTGGTCCTCTCATCCTGGCTGGAGCATCTTCTGTCGCGATGTGCATTGTGATCTGACTCTGTGCTCCTGATGGGGCATAGCAGGGTGAGGAAGAGATGTGCTTGGGGAGGGGGGAGTCAGCTGGGACAAACTGCTTGCCTGTTCTSCTGCTCACTCCCCTCTGCCTGTGAGGATGTGCTTGTTCCTAGGACCCGCTCCTCATCGTGTTCTCTGAGGATTCCCAGCTGGGGAAGCAGCTGGCAGGAGCTGGAATGCCATTCTCCACCCCAGCACTGCCTGCTGCATGTTCAGAGACCTGTTCTCCTCTGCCAGCCAGGTCATCTGTGCATCCCTGCTGCTGTCCTGTCCCCTTGGAGCAGCCGTGCCACCCTTTTAGGGCCTGGGGGTGGTGGCACTCCACGCACTCAGCCTGCTGAGATCTGTCCCTGGCTCCATCTGCAGCCTCGTGGCAAGGGGAGGGATGTGTTCAGCTGCTGCCATTGTGAAACACTCAGCCCAAACCAGCTTTACCTGTGCTGGGGATGTCCCCAGAGGAGGTGTGAGCTCAGGCTTTGCATCCCTACCCTGTGTGGCTTGGCGTCAGGGATGGCAGTGTCTCTCCCACAAGGAGGTTTGGTAACTMRTGGTGTCTTCTGCTGTCTCAGCTMCTGCCCTGGCTGCCTGTCCCCCATYTTTGGGGCAGAGCAGGGTTGAGTTGGCCCTGCTCCACTCCTGCAGGGTGTAGGGCATAAYTGTGGGACTTTGCAGCAGTTTTGGGTGGTCTTTCTTGTCCTCCATCTGCCTGCAAACTCCCAAGGCTCAGCTGGTGCTCTCCTCCAGGATACCAGCTCCTCTTCCAAACCAGCCACGGCAGGACCAGGGAGCAGGSCACCAGAGCAGGGAGAGGGGGTGGCAGTGTGTTTTGTAGTGTTTGAAATGTTTCCTGGAAGTGCTGCTTGGCYTGCAGGGTCCTCTTTCTGCTGTGGGATGGGCTTTGAGGAAGCGGTGGGGTCTCATCTCTGCCCTGCCATCTCCTCAGGATTGCAGCAGGCCCTTGGCATGGACACAGCCTCTCCTCTGAGTCCAAAATCCAACCAAAGCACCCACTTTGGTTGGATTTTGGGATGAGGGCAGGCTTTGTAGACTGGAATCACTGCTGGAGGGAAGCCTGCAGGGCTGCAGACTCCACGATTGTCTTCATGTGGCACTGGGGTTGGACACTGGGCATCAGGAATGGGTGACAGGGCAGGTTCTGCCGGCCCGGAGGTGACAAGGGCACGAGGGGAGCTGCTGGGAGCGATAACCAGGTGGTTCTCACCTCTCCTGCAGCGATCAGATCAGGATCAGATGCAGGGAGCAGGAAAGCCTTCCCTTTGGACCCGAGCCTTGCTGTGCCTCCCTGTGCCATCCGGGTGGGTGCATGGCTTTGCCTTAAGCGGCTGTCACTGGCTCAGTGTCCCTCTGTATGCATCAGCCACCTGCCCGTGTGGCCCGAGGGACCCCAGGGGCAGCTCCTGTGGCCCCAGGTCCTGCAGCAGCACCTGTGATGCTCAGTGCCTTCTGCAGAAGCTCCTCCAGCTCTCCCCGGCTGCCACGTGTGCAGGAGGGGACTGCCACAGCTTTGGCACCCTGGTGTGAGCAGGGACACGGCTGCAGTCAGGATTTTGGGATTGAACTGGCTTTTTCTCTCTGCTCCCACGGCCTGCGTGGGCCTGTGACTAAAGGGGGTCTGCCCCTGGATCTGCATCTCCTTAAGAAAACACGATACRTGCGGTCAGGTTTACATTCACAGTGTTGTTCTTTTGATAAAGCAGAATAAAATTATTTTGTTACCATTTTTTGGGGGGTGGTTTTTTATGTGTTTTAGGGCTGAAGTGGGGGACCTCTCTGCCTGTCACCSTGCAGTGGCACTGCATGGTGTGGATGACCTCAGCAACAGGGGAGCAGCCTGTGCTTGAAGAAGGCCACAGGATGGTGCTGAGCATGAGGAGAGTCCTTGCAGCATCCTGCAGCTCCTGGGGCATCCTGGCTCTGCGTGGCTGACAAAATGTGCTGCTSCTGTGGCTCTGGCACTGGATTGAGGAGCTCAGCTCCAGCCCTTCTCCCCTTCCCTAATCCCTTTCCCTGATCCCCCTGGCTACCACCACCCTGCTGTCCCCTCCTGCCCACACACACTCTGTGACACCTCTACCTTCAGTCTTTATTGGTATAAAAGCCTTGAACCTAAATTATATAAAAAACGGGGAGGCCTGATTTTACAGCAAGTGGCTCAAAATGGTCACATGAGGGTCATAAATAAACGGCTGCAGTAAAAAGGCTCCCGGGGAGTTCCCTTTTGAACCGTATCTCCAGGAATAACCAGCAATAAAGGGGAGGGAGGCCAAGCCCAGCTTGGACCTGCCACAGCTCCTGGTGACATCTTCCCCCCGGTGTGATGTCCCCAGCTAGAGCGGTTCCTGGGGCAGGAGCGATGCCAGGAGCTCCTCTCCGCAGCCCCAGAAGGGCAGGGCAGGGGGAGCAGGACACATTCAGRCCGTCGGCAGAGAAGGCAGCAGCTCCCAGGGCACAGGAGAGCCTGGGCCGGGCTCCCAAAGCGGAGCTGGCGTTGTCCCCGCTCCCGGTTTCCGTGGGAAGCCCCGGCTCACGGCTCCCCCGGGACAGCCCTGAGGCTGCCGGGTCCTTTAAGGCACGACTGGAGGATYTGTAAACACTGGTGACCCCGGGCAGGGTGCGAGGGTCCGGCCGGCAATTCAAGTAACGCTGGGAGGGAGGCGATGGCTCCGCAGCTGTGCCACCCAGCCAGCTGTGCCGCTCCTCGGCGGCGGATGGAGCATCCTGGGTCACCTCCTGCCCGCGGGCGGCTTCAGGGCCACCTTGGGCGGGGGACACCGCTGGAAGGGCATCGGTGGGCGGGCCGGTCCCGGCGGCTGCTCGCCGTGGCTCGGTTCTTTGCTCTTCAGGGCTGGGAGAGGTTTGCTGGGCGGCTTCGGCTTCTGCTGGCGGGAGGAGAGACCCGACTTCCTTAGCTGGGCAGCCGGGAGGGACCCGGAGCGGGGCAGGGAGCAGAGGAGGGGTCCCTCTCTCCTCGGGAGAGGGGCTTACCTGGGAAGGCCACCCCGGAGGGGACCGAGGGGTCACCTGGGGGCCGGCAGCCGACGGCTGCAGGATGAGCACAGGGCTGTGGGCTCGGGCTGGCCGCGGGGCCGCTGTGCTGCTGACCAGGCTGGGCTGGCCGATGTCCTGGCGGGACAGCTGGCGGCGGCCCGGCCGCGTCCGGCCACCCTCCTGGAACAGCGGGTTGGCCAGGCCCGCGGGRGTCCCTCCGGAGCTCCTGCGGGACACAGGGAACATGTGGAGCTGCTCCGGGCACCCCTCGGGCTCAGCCCCGAGCAGCGGAGCCGCGGGGACGGGAATTATTACCGTTTGTGGGATTGCCGTGCCGTCCTGGCTCTGAGGAGCACCACGCCGCTGCCCAGCAGGACTCCGGCCAGGGCCAGCACGGCCAGCACGGCYGCCAGCACCACGCTGCTGCTCCCTGTGGGGACCACCCGGGCGTTTGGGGACGGAGCGGCACCCGCCAGCCGGTGCCACCCCTTCCCCGGCTCCCTCCCTGGGGACACGTTCGGGATGAGGGGTCCGTACCTGTGGCTATCCCTGAAACCTGCTGCTCGCAGTAGGGCGCTGCCCAGCCCGGGTCGCAGTGACATTCCCGCCTGTGGTTGCACACCTGGGGTGAGGGGGGAGAGCGTCAGGGTGGTGGCCGTGCCGCGGGGCCCGCAGCGGCTCAGGAAGGGCGCGGTGCCAGCGCCTACCCCGTGATTGTTGCACTTGGCCGAGCAGTTCTTGTCGCCGTAGACCAGGAGGTTCTGGCAGCGCCCGGCGTAGCAGACCTGGGGGCGGACAAGGGGGCTCTGAGGCTGCCCCGGGACCGGCGCTCCCCCGCCCCCGCCCCGGCGCGGCCCCGGCGCGGCTCTCACCATCTCCTCCCCGCACTTGGCCCCGGTGGGCACCAGCCGCAGCTCGGCCGCCTCGCCCGCGTCGCTGCCCGCGATCACCGCCTTGCACTTGAAGCGGCCGAAGTAGTAGCCGAAGGAGTAGTAGCCGCTGCCGAGGATGGGCTGGCTGTTGTCGCTCAGGCACAGCAGCGTGCCGCACTTCACATCCCTGCGGGACACGATG